AAAGCGGTGGTGTTTCTGTGGTAGTTTCATACTATTTTTGCATGAAAACCTGTTCATTGGGACGACTTCATGCAGGAGTTACCCAGTTGTCAAAGCTGTCTTCTACCCTGCAAATCACAGAATAAATGTGCGTGGCTAAGGAGTGAACTAATCAGCTAATGTTTTAATACAAATGTGAGTAAACGGCCAAACCTGTGGTCAGGCAGAAAAATCACCTCTACAGCTGCAAATATACTTTTAAAATACATATTTGGTTTTTCTTAACCCTTATCTTGAACAGGTAAGAGTTACCCTTAAAGTTAGTGCTTACCTGAACATACTTTAGTGATTCTCTGATTCTAATGTCACAGACATTGAGGAAAGAAATGCCTACTTTGAGTCCAGAAGCACAACAGTAGCAAAGCCCGCACATTCTAAGCACCCGGATGAGAATTTTGCATAATATTCAGGTAGGAAAACAAATCTGCGTATTTAATACTGAAGTGAAAGGGAATCCATCAAAACTAATACAAAGCAGCACTGGATTAAATCAAATACTTTTGCAGTTCCTGTGACAGAAAAAGCAGATTTAGAGTTAATCAAACAGCAGTCAATCAACTGCATTGTTAGAAAACAGGATTTTTCAACTCTGGTTTAATGTCATGGTAAGCTCCCGGTCTCTGCTTTGTGTTTGGGTGATGGCATGATCTGCTGCAGAACCTCTAAGCTTCTGTTCACTGAAGTGCCAGGTGGATCCACATGCGTACACCTATAGCCACATAGGCATTCAATAATATAGAGCTTTGGGATAGGTAAATATGTTAATGGTGTACGGATGACATGACTAGTCGTCTGAAAGAAACTACAGAACAGAGAATGGCAACCAAAAGCCACTATCAGAGGGTTTGTGCACCTATTGCTATACCCAGGGTAAATACCATCCCAACCCAGTAAAACCTCCGGCTGTAACCACAGGTGAGCCGGCTGGGCGGCTCCGTGCCTTTTCCCAAGGTGGTTTCTCCCCATCAGGATAGAGCACATACAAGAAAGAAGCTTGAACTGCTCCACATCCTGTTGCAGCTACATCGACCTCAAAGAGAACATGATCAGGCTTGCTTCCAAACACCGCTCAACTGCAATCAAACCACTTAAATAAGACAATCTCATGTACAAATTTAGGAAGAAAAAGAATTCAAGTGTGAGGTACTGCTCCCAGCCAGAAATCCACTCATCAGAATTCAGTGCATCCCTCGCATTGCGCAGCTGAAGTAGCAGGAAAGAATTTAAATGACACATACATGGGTTTGGGTGCCTTTTTTTTTTTTTTGACTGGCCCATGGTTTTTTTTTGACTGGCCATGATTTTTTACACTATGCGCCCATGTGTTGTGAATCTCCTGGTTAAAAAAACCTGAATTTGACCTTTTTTATTAGCTTATTGATATACCCCCTTCTCAGGTATACCTAAGCCTACTTATGCAGGACTGTTCACTGGCAGCTAGTAACAAGAAATAATCCTGTTAGCACCTGCAAGTAGTATTTGCAGATTAAAAGCAATACCAGCACTTCACTAACACCCCTCTGAGGTCAATGACCAGATGAAACAGAATTATTGCTGATTTCTACCAGTAAGAGGGAAGAACTGAATATGAAGCATTCAGACACCCCAGGTTGGAATTTTTTTTTTTTTTTAATTTTTTTTTTTAACTTACACCACCACGAGTCTTCCTTACACCAGTCTAAATTTTGATGAGCGCCAAAGATCTGCCTTAAGAGAAAGAGTAGCTTGTTGGCAGGTACATATTTCTGATGGCAGAATACATTCCTCAAACAATTATGTCTTATCACAACACTACTTCAAATTTTACATCAAACTGTATCATGGGGCCCTTTTAAAATCCCCTCGTTAATGATGATTATGTAAGTACCACTAGATGTGAGACATTCCCATATTGCTTGTAGGAGTTATGATTTAATTCTATTACAACCTACTCCACCATTGTGTAATCACTCCTGACACTACCTTTTGTTTTGTAAAACATTATTGTCTGCCACAGAAAAAAAACAGACGGTATTTTGTTTGTCATTGCAATCTGATTGGAAAGGTGTTATTAACGGAAAGGTGTTATTAATTAAATGTTGTACGCAGTTATACTTGAAAACTCACTGACAGCTCTGGGGACAAGATATATTACTGGAAGACAGTTGTTATTTAGGTCTCTGAGGCAACACAGAGACACTAATAAATCTCCCACACACTCCTATGAATTAGGCAGATATTATTCAGCGTTTGTGGGGAATAGTTTGGATTTTCTTCGGCCTTTAATAGTGACTAGCGTGGCTTCAGCGTGGTCCATGACTCTAGGAGCCACTATAACGGAACGCTTGGACTTGCTTTATCTCAGTAGGCGAGTTTGCAGATACACAGGGAGCAGAACTGAGAAGTCGCTGCCCTCACAAGACACGAGACGATGTTTTGGTTCAGTACCTCAGCTAAGCTTTTTGCCAAAAGGAGGAGGCAAAGATGTTTTACCAGAGCCGGAATTTTCATTTTCTGTTTCTCACTCATTTATTTTTTGTCATCAGAAGTGTTACATGCAGAGAAAATATTCCTTTAGAGGATAAGTAAGTAGAAACAGCCACAAAATTCCAATTGCCTATAGTGAGAGTTTTGACCAAGTCCCTTAACTAGCGGCAAGTTTCCTTTCACAGAAGTTACACTGGTAGCGCTCCTCACGTCGATACTATTGTTCTTCTCTTCTGAGCAGAGAGAAGGTCCATCTCACAAACAAAGAGGAGATTTTTCAGGAATTATTATAATAAGCTTGATTTTTTTTTTCACCCAGCATTTTCACTGTAGTGCCCATAGGTTTATAGGGAATAGGGAATTTCATCAAGAAAGAGGTTTTGAAAGTCCTTACCTTGGTCACAGAGGAACATAGTGAATTAAATTTTCCTCCTCAACGCGCTCTTTGAGCTGGGGCTGTGGCTTCTGAGTACTCTGAAGGTAAATGTGATGTGACTAGTGCTCAAATTGCTTCATAAGGAAAAGTTCATCACAGGCAGGGTAACTGCTTAAAATGCAACATAAACAAACAGGTCTGTGTCAATATTTTGACTTCGTGTAAACAATTCAAGCTGTATCACTCTGGAGATAATGACACATAATGCTGTATAAAATGCTCTGAAAAGGTTTTACTGAATTAATCTGCATTTGAGTTCTGGAAGAAAATTGGTCTGTGCAGTGGAAAAACGTGAACTCCTGTGCTCCTGTTGAATATGATCGTAACGAGGTCTGGAGCTTCCAGAAAGCTTCCTGGGAAAGGGCTTCGCTACTACAAGGTAAATAGGAAAAGAATGATTTTCAGACCCTGCACTGTCTTTAATCCCACTCTCAGAGCTTCAGAAATTGGTGTGTACGACAGACTGGAATGATTTTGTCTGAGTAACTATAAACGAAGTATTTCTTACAACTCCGACGCTGCATCTCTGGGCAAATGCTCTTTCTCCTTTTAGCAACATCACGAGTTCAAGTCTGGAAAGGACAGTGATTAGTGTTTTAAAACTCTGCTAATAAAACTAAGGGAAAGCAATCTGTACATAGGAGTTTATTTAGATGCCCACAAGTTTTAAATCATTCCCCTTTATATCTCAGCCCACTGGATATCTCATCCAACTGAATTACCATTGGGTTTTACAATGTGATATACAAAATGAGCTGACATGATTTACAAACATCGTTTGAGTATCATATAAAACACAACTGTTTCCCTTATTATACAATTATTAGGGCAATGCAAATATAGTCAATACATTAGTAGCTGAAAATGATGGGGCATTTTAAGAAAATAAATTCAACTTTACCACACAAACCTGTTAGAGAAAACAAATCCTGTTTAAAAAATGGGAATAAAGTAGTCTGAATGATTGCAAGTAATTTTTATATTGTTTTGCCACTGTCCCCTTATAAGAAACATAATAGTACTTCATTTAAAAGACGACTAATTTTTTCACTGTATAGTCACACTTCATTCTTATTAATCAGTTTCACATTTTCTGCATGAAAGTATGAAAAACTCACAAATGTAGACTTTCCAAACTGTAGCCACTATACTTATTTCTGCACTCTTTTCCATATACTCAGTGTGTTTAATTAAATTAACAAAAAGCAAAAAACACTACACAAATGAGCAGAACAAAACACAACAGCACGTTAAAAAGGTGACATTTAAGCTGCAGATGCCGTCGTCGTAGAAATATATTCTTGTTCTAATGCCACAAACTTTCTAGCCTCATGAAAAAAATAGACATTAGCTGAAGAGAATCTAAACTCTAACCTCGATACAGGGCTAAGAGTTTTAATTTGTATTTCTGTCTAAACTTAGGTACTAAACAACACTGTGTGCGTGGTAAATTTAAAACTAATTTTTTTTGAATGTTATAAAATATGAAAAGAGAAAATCTCTTTCTGAGCTGTTAATTGGGTAATGAAAGTTACCAAGTGTTAAGGTCTCCTGTCCCGCATGTCGCTGGTACAGGTGCTTCTGCACTTTGTCATTATGGTGGCAGTAACTGAGAATGGCAGACATCATTATTACTGTAAATACAAAAAAGGAAAAATTCTGAATTCATCAATGATGTTATAATTGAAAGCAAATTCTAACCTAGTCAAGTTAAATTATATCATCTTAAGGCTCTCTGACTGTTTTATCACTGCACAACCCAGAGGGATTGTACCCTTTTCCAGCACTTGCAGTTTCTTTTGCAAAACAGAATACTGATAATAACCGGTGATTCTTTCCTGAATATGTGTTGAACTGGCGGTGGAATGTGGTTTTAGTTCCATTTCTCACTATAGGAGTCTTGCTGCTGCTCCGTGTGTCTGGAGAAGAAAGTGCTTTTTTTTTGCCATTTCATTAAGTTCATGGCATTTAATTTTATAGATTTTTAAGACAGACTTATTTTGATTACTTCCATTCTGTCCAATCAAATATACCTTTGAATGTTTTAAAACGTTGGACAGCTGTGAAATATAAGTACTATGCAATTTGACTGTACATACATACATATTTTCATAAATACATCTGACAGGGACCTTGGAACTAAGTATGTGATATCATGGGACAAAATCACAACAGGCTGTCTTATTTGTAAAATCTAGATCCAAAGTAAGAAGAGCTGAATTCTATCATGTGGTCAATACACAAATTAAACCAAAAAATACAGCATTAGTTTATCCGTGAAATAATTTAAACGTTATTTGCAAATGTCTCGACAGGAAAAGTGTGTAATTTACAACACTGAAAACTTTTAACAACCATCGACTTATATGCGCTGCACTGTAAGTCACCCAGACAAGGCTAGCAAGGATGAGCATAGTGATAGGTCCCAAAGGCAACTCCCAAACATCTTCCTCATGCGGAGACTTTGGTAATTGTCTGTTGTATAAAATGCCAACGCATACGACTTCATTTCAGGTGTTAACTTCGTCAGTTTTCCTCCCTCGGCACAGTCCGGCCTGACTAGGTCAGTTATTGTTGAGACACTCTAAATCCACCGAGCAGCAGACGTTCCCATTCTGCACAGACAAACAAGCAGGTGTCAATCACCTCCGCAGAACAAGTTACAAAGAGCAAAGGGGCTGGTGGCACGCAGAGATAGATGCATCTCTGACACATCTACCGCATACAAAAATCTGCTTAAGCCATCATCCCAAGGTGTCCTCATCGGTCCCAACCGTGGTGGCTTTTTGAGGCAGTTGGCTTTGCCAAACAGCACTGAACTGGCCTGAACCACACACGAACTACAAACCTGGATGTGAAAGACTCAGTGGTCCCTATAATAAAATACAGCACAGCAGTGGCAACAAAGATGATTTGATTTGTTTTCTCCCGTGCAAGAAAGATAATGGAGAGAGTTTTGACATGATCCATGCAGGGAAGCTTTCTGCTTGTCTGAAATAAGCAGATAGTTCAGATTCTTGATTCATGGCAGATATGTATGGGGTGGGGTGGGGGGACACACAGCTTTGGAGTTTAATCCATTGTTAAACACCTTTCTGCAACATCCAGTCATTTACAAAACTATCTTATGTACTAAAAGCTACAGCAACCACCAGAACCCCAAAGGAGCAATTTTTTTCCTTTTTAAATCCAACACAAACCAATAGCAAAAACTCTGAGGAATGGCAGAAAAGCCACCTTCAATAATTTAAAGCCCTGGAGCAACAGCTTGGTTTCCCACAGTGAACAGAAGAACATTTTATATATCCCAAGCCAACATTTTCATAATTCTGATATCAGCGCAGTGGGGTCATCACTGCATGGAACAGGGGAGACTGCAGTCCTGCATTAGGGCCATTGGATCAATTACATCTTGATGAGATCGGGGAACAGAAACTGTGACATTCCCTTCCCACTTCTGTTGTGGGACTGCCTCCAGAGTGAGCTGGAAAGCATTGTGTACGTGCTGGTGAAACTTCTATTAGTGTTTTTGCCTCTGCTTACCAGCTCCAAAACACATTTTCACAAACATCCACATTAGGCAATTATTAAAATACTAGCCTAGAATCATACTGAGAATGCCTGAAGGGCTCTCTGACAGAACATCTGAAAGTTGCACTAGGATATCGCATATCGGCGCTCAACATTTTCAACAAGCACAGAATTGGTTTTTTTCCGCCCTGCAAAACACAGAAGGCGTGGGTTTTCTGTAGGCTTCTGCTCTCGGGTCTCATTTACTTCCCCGAGATCTGAATGTGAGCTCCCAAGGGCAGAAAGTGACCCCGATTTTATGCAGCAACATCCATTTCCATTACCATTCTACCTTGCCCATCGTACCTTGCATTTGCAGGTTGTACAAGGAGATCCCACCATTGTCCATACAGCGCCGCTAAGTCTTGTAATTCCATAACCATCGAGACAGGTTTTCCTGATGTCGTAGGTGATGTTGTCAGCCAGACAGGGGTCACTGACACAGTGGGGACAGCACTCTCCTTCCGAGATGGCTGTGTACTCGCAGTTTAGATTCGGGCACAGAAGAGGCCAACAATCCACCTCTCCCTCCTGTAAAAATTGAAGCAAAGCTCATTGCATTTGTTGCCATTTATTAGCTACCATGAAACTTTGCATCCTGTTGAATGGCAAAGTTTTATTTTCCCAAAATTGAAATAAACTTAATGGATCAGCTCTCAGTTTGGTTGATCATATAAATGCATGTTTCAATACTGAGCTGAAGTTTCCTAAATGTAGCAGAATATCATTTGGTTGTTTCTTGACTAAACACCACCACTGTCATCATCATTAGAGCAGAACTTGTGTTCTTTCAGATTTTTAAAGGCAGCATTAAATTATTGGGTTCCAATATTTTCCATAAACTATAATTTTTGCAGTGATCGCCTTGCTCATGCCCTCTTTCTATGTCTGGTCACATAAACATCTCCGCAGGATCACAGCAACTGTTTACATAGAAAATTAACACTGCAGGTAGATGTAGGTTGCAGAAGCATTGAACGTCGATCTAACTAGCAACAGACAAAACTGATTTTACTGTCAACTCCTAAAGGAATTGTTAGAGCAATACCAGTTATGTTCCACTGAGTCACTTTATTATTAAACTTTGTAAAAAAAGCAGTCTAGTGGACAGAAACTTGGAGAAGAGGGAATCATCAGGTCACTTCTGTAGAGTATTGCTGTAGGATCCATGTGTCTAAACTTAACCTGCAAAGGGCTCCAATAACTTGCGTTACGCTACTCTGTAAGCACTTCAGACGTTGAGAACATCATGCACTGCACAGAACCTTACATGTAGCACTGACTTAGAGCATCGCTGTCTTTTAGCTCCATATGTTTGTTAACCCAATCATAAAATTAGGCAAAGAATTGCTGACCACAAACTCGGCATCCCTTGTAAAACACGTCACATCCAATATTTGCCATTGCTGCCAGCTGCAAATGTTTCTTGCTGTTCTTTTGCAAACATTCAAAAAAAAAAAAAATCTTAGGAGAATATAAAATACAATACTCACTGCTGTATATTATGGATAATTATCTCTTAATAGTAACTTAGCTTTGAATGTAATTTGTTTCCTGATGCTCAGACACCTCTTGATTAATATCATATATAAAGACAATGTTATACAGACAGCTATAAATGGAAAACTGATAATTTAATGAAGTTCATTGCTGCACTAATTAGTATATCTGTGCAAAAATTAAAGCTTTAGGGAAATAATCTACAGTGCCTAACGAGAAAAGAAATGTTCTTTATTTTGCATGTTTGTCTAGTACATTTCAGTTTTCTTTATCCTTCTTTTTTTGGTTAATTTTTGCTAATTCACCATGTGGCACTGGCACTCCATTTTTCCAGCATTTGCTGAACGGAAAAAAAAGAATTGCATTGTCCATTTTGGTAAGACAGGCACACCAGCTGATATAATTAAAAGCTGAAACTCCTCCAACCAAATCCACCGCATGTGAAAAAAATTTTAAAAAGTCGTTTGAAGATCAGACGACCTTATAAATAAGTTCTCAAAAGTAGTCTAATGCTAAAGTTGATACAGTGACAAGGCTTCCAAGCTTTTGTCAGGCTTTTCATTTTGTTCATTAGACCTACTTATTCAGCAGTAAGAGGAAAACTGACGGTGTAGCTTTCAGTTCTCCGGTGCTCTGTAAGTGCTTTATCATCATTCCCAGTCTGAAAAGCCGGTGAAGAGAGAGCCAAGAGCCTGCTTCCAGGTATGCTTTGCTAAAAACCATAATCCTTATTATTCTTACTCCCTTCCGAAACGCTTTACCCATACCAGGCAACGGCACTGCTGACAGCTGTAGGTCCAGTTGTCCCCGCTGCGGTACAGCCTGTGCCCAGTTTGGTCGAGGCACTGGCTGGTGACACGGGTGTCGCACTCAGGGCAGCAGAAGAGATCAGCGCTGGGGTTCTCGCAGTCGCAGGCTGTCCTCCGGCAGAAAATCCTCCCGTCCTGCAAGGATACATTGCCCCGCCGTCAACCACAGACTGCCAGACAGCAACCCGCATAAGGTCACAGGGTGACCTTATATCAAAGGGCACGCCTTTGGCATAGCAGGAAATACTAAGTTCTTAACGTATTCGACGTTACCGCCAACAAGGACGGGATCCTGCCAGTTGCGAGTAATACCTCAAATACCAGTATTGTCCCAATTTCTATCAGTGCATGGATCCAATACTGTCTGAATCTGAGAATACTGTTTTCCTGTCTCCAGCTAATTGAATTTAAAAGAAATCACCATCTCAGAAGAAATATAGTGAAGCAATTTCATATCTCATTGGTTACATCAGCAAACTCTTCAAGCAGTTGCCGCTCTAATACATACAATATTTGTTTAGCACTATTTTGACTGACTGTATCACCGTGAAGAAAATAACTTGAATAAATAAACTGAAGTTACGAAGGTGGTCCCTTTAACTCCATAGGAGAACAATATAGCAAAATCACAGTGGCACTAATCATTGTTTACTCTGAATTCACCACTGGTTCTGTTCCACATCTGGACCTACAGTACACCACCTTAAAGCTAAATGGACTTACCATCATCCATTATAATTCTGTTCACGTATTAAAGAGAGCCTGTATTCCACAGGCTCTTCAAAATATGATTTTGCTAAATATTTGCCTACAGTATTGGATGGCCCATTTTGTTAAAGACCATTAAACAGAAATGTTTGAGATAAACAGAAGAATTGCTTCTGCATGTAAAGAGAAAAGGATATATTCTCTTTGCATCAGAGAAAAACAAATTGATTCTAATTCTAGTTATGAAAATTGGACAGACTATCGTGTTTGAAATTATGCCCCTTACTGTAGATGAGCCAACATACTGATACGCCACGCATAGTCTGGGAACGGAAATCACAGTTAACAATGAGGAAATTATTGAAAAGTTTTGACATGAACTTCTTTTGCATTCAATGCTAGTTCTTGGATTAGTCCTTATTCAAGCAAAGCGTCCCCTGCAGCCAATTTGAAGGTAGAGTTGTGAGAGGAATGAAGCTATATTCTGCTTTGGATCACAACCGTACAATTCCTAAAACAACTCCACTCATTTCGTTGAAGTTTTTCCATATTCTCATCAGAATCTTGTTCTAGTCTATAAACCTGTATCTAATGTAAGAAGGAAAAGTTTTTTTCATTGCCACCAAATAAAGGGATACCTATCAAAGCAAGGGAATTTCTTTCCTCTTGATCCTTTTAAAAAGTGATTACTGAAGAGTGACAGCAGCCCAGAATGTCTTTGCCACAGGCAGACAATATAGCCATAACCACAGCATGTAGCATGGGAGGTTGTTTTATTTATGTTTTGAATATAGCCATAACCACAGCATGTAGCATGGAGGTTGTTTTATTTATGTTTTGATGTAGGAATCTCTGTTTGGCTCCTGTTTTTAAGCAAAGCCAGTCCTGGCCACAACACAACATATACAAAATCAGCATCAGGGAATTGCAATACCCACGTCAGTCAGCATCGCTGCTGCATTTCAACACGGTTTTGAATTGATTAGAATATTACTTTCTGTTGTAAGAACAACTAAAATGATTTCTTATACCTAACAAGGAAAGCTGAAAACAGAATTGTGTAGAAAACATGCTAGGTTAACATGGACCTGAACTGCTTTTGCCAACCACAGGGCATAGGACTAGATCGCCCTACAGTCTTTACTCAGTTTTGTATCAAATTAAGATAACTAAGGATTCTTGCTTCGTTTGCTGCTTTAGCTGTGGCAGAAAGAATAAACAAGCTTGATTTCCTTACTCAGCAGTGTGAGTACATCTTAAGGTAAGGAAGACTGGCAGTGGCCCGTTTCCCTAGCCACAGGTCCAGCCAGGTCCAGATGCAATGCTGGGAATAAACCCTTTCCACACAAAAAAAAAAACCCAAAGAAATCATCCTCCTCCTTCAGCAACTGGTGAAAGAAGTGAGCCGAAAGCCTTCCCTGACAGAGAATTATGGCTACATCTTGCAGGTGGGAAAGCACAACCATCTTCCACCCCTTGCTGAGGGCAGACACCAAGCGGCAGCTCAGCACAAAAGCTCGGCCAGGCTGGCTAGCTCCAGGTCCTGGGGTTGCGCCAGGCATCCGGGCAACCCAACGCCCTCGACAATGGCAGTCTCTCTCCTTTCCATAATGGAGTGCTGATTAATAATGGCTAACAATAACCTGTCTGCTTCGTTCCAATTCAGTTTCCAAGCTTTCAAGATTAGTTTTCAAATTCGCCTTTCAGCTAGGGACAGTGCTGGTAGTTCTGTGCTTCTCTGAGCTCCTGTGCTGTTACCTCTGGGGAGCAGCTAACCTTTTACGTTGCCTTCACTCTCTGTATTTCAGAACACTGACAAAGCCTGATGATTTTGCTAGAGACCTTTTGGTAATCATAATACACTGCCACTCTCTTTATTCTTTAAGCATCTGTGTTTTATCTACAACCTCATTAGTTCCATGCCTTTCAAAAAACACTTTTATCCCTATACTGAAGTGACACAAAGCTGCTTAAGCTACATCATCTCACTTGCACCTTTGCAGCTCTGTAGTAGCATTGAGAAATTGAGAAATACATAGAAAGCAACTTAGTTTCTTTCAGTAGGGAATAACGTCTAGCATCTTATTAGTACCTCTCCCTCTCCGCCTTCCTCACTGAATCAGTTCTCCATGCTTCATAAGCATCACCGGTACGAACACAAAATTGTTCTTACCAAAGGAAAAACTGACACACGAGGGAATCGCTGTAAAGGGCGACTCCAGTTTCCACAGAGCCCCAAAGCCAATTCGGACAGAAATCACACCCTGCAGAAACCAAACCACCAAACCGTTCTCACCATCAGGAACATGCTTCACCTTGGCACGTCCCCCTCTTCCCAGTGCTGTGCTTATCCCCCAGGCTTTTTTCATGCAGGGAATGGAGGGCTGTCTTAATAAGAGGCCAGACTCAAAAGCCCAGATATAGGAGACTGTACAGCCAGGCTTAGTTTTTTTCATGGGAGAGAGAAGCAGCTCCCCACTCCCCATCAAATTTCTACCGGTCTTGTGTATTAAATCCACAAGAGTTCAGGAAGATGCCTGTAGAAGACACATCAAATATACTTAAGGTACTGTATTAATTTATAGTTTTGAGAATTTGTTTTTGTAAACTTTATATTTACTCAGATGAACGAAGATGGTTTGAAAAGACTGGGTCTGATGAAACACTGAAATAATCCCCTGTGCTTCAATATGGACACTTTGCTTCATTATATAACTGAAGTAATATAATTTCTCACATTCCATAGTATCCTACTCCACAAATAATCTTACTTAATGAACTTCAAAGTGAAGTAAGATATTTAATCTCCTTTGCACCAGATTTTAAGATAAAATATTTTCAAGATGAGATCTATTTACATCCTGCCTGGGATATGAGAGAGGAGGAGCTCTCCTTGTTTTCCCTGTTCTATAGACAAGAATTTGGCTCTTGAAATAAGGCAGCTACTGGAGTGAAATTAAATGCAAGTGTTAATTCACAGAGGAAAAAACTGGAAGTGAGGAAGATATAAAGGAAGAGTCATAGCAACAGACAGTGCCAGGCTTAGTTTAAAATATCTGTGTACTAGTTAATCATTTTGTGTATTTTCATATACTAATAAGAACATTCAACATAAGAAATAACTGCAATGAGAAATGGCAAATAAAACAAATTACAAGCAATCTAAAATGGGAATACTAATAGTTATAATTCTGCAAAAGCAGACCAGATGTCTTCACATATATTAAACTGTTTATTCTATTGACTGGAAATCCTTTCATAAGCCAGCCAGTTCCCCAAGATTACAATAAAAGCTTGATATATATTCAGTGGTGTTGTACGCTTCGGCTTCTGAAGGGAGGAGTTTTAGGCAGCTTGACGCTACTTGAAGTAAAAAATATAGCAACTAACAAGAACATATTCCCTTTTGAGCCCAAAACAGCGGTGTACTTTGCGGGTTCAAAGTCTTGATTTTCCCTTCTGCTCTACTATTGCAATACAGAAATGATGAGGCTTTCAGCTTCTTGCAATTAATTTCAAAACAACTCTTCCCCCTTGTCCCCCCCAAACCCTTTAATGCTTCTCTGGCTCATCAGCATGAAGACATGGGGACTGATAGGCCACTTCTCATGCTCTACGTTCAGCTTTTCACAGTGGCCAAAATCTCATTTTACTTAGACTTATGCCAGGGCCAATAGTGTTCTGCTGTGTCTAAGGACAGCTTTACCAGACCTATGAACACATCAGGTCAAAGTGGCCATAAAAGACTAACCTTTTCTCAGATTGGTGCATTTCTAAAATTCTTCTAATTTCAATGAAAGCACTCCTCTTTTAACTAGTGAAAATGAAGACAGCAGAGTCAAATGTTCTTTTAACTTGGTTACCACACTCAGAAATTAACTGATAATTTCGGGGGGCGAGGTGGGGGGAGACAAAAAACTGATGTGTTAACTCTAAAGTAGATCTACTTATACTACGCCTGGCTTCTCCAAAAGTGCAGAGCTCAAGTGGGAGAGCTGCCAACACAGCCAAGCTGGGATGAGGAGGTGTTCTGGTTTCAGCTGGGATAGGGTTAATTTTCTTCCTAGTAGCTGGTATAGTGCTGTGTTTTGGATTTAGTATGAGAAGAATGTTGGTAACACGCTGATGTTTTCAGTTGTTGCTAAGTATCTTGTCAAGGACAACTACCCTCTGCTACCAAGCTAGACTGGGAGGAGGGAACGCAGCCAGGACAGCTAGCCCAGCTGGCCAACGGGGTATTCCACACCATGTGACGTCATGCTCAGTATATGAATGGTAGGCATGTTCCAGGAAGTAGCGATCACTACTTGGTTATAGGTCAGCGCAGGTGGTGAGCAATTGCATTGTGCATCACTCATTTTGTATATTCTATCATTATCATAATTATTTTCCCTTTTTTGTTGTATTAAGCTGTCTTTATCTCAACCCACAAGTTTTTCTCACTCTTACCCTTCTGATTCTCTCCCCGTCCCGCTGGGGAGGTGTGGGGGGGGTGGGGAGTGAGCAAGCGGCTGGGGGGGGGGAGTGAGCGAGCAGCTGTGTGGTGTTTGGCTGCCTGTCGGGTTAAACCACAACAGGAGGAGAAAGCTGGCCTTCACCCTTCTTCACTTGAAGAAATAAAGTGCCTGCTGCCAGGTCCTCTAAACTTGGACTCATGCTCAGGCCTTCCTTCTCACCCAGTTAATTCACGTGTATTCCAAGTAAAGGGAAACACCACCAACAGGAAGATGGTTAAGTACAGTACTTGTCCCGAGAGATGCATATTCATGTGAAACAGAAATTGAAAACGGTTTTCAACACTTCCAGTGTGCGTGCTGATCGCCTGCACATTCCGTTAAAGGGTGATGCAAGACCCTCAATCAAGGCACATTACGAGTGGCCCACGGGGTCACGTGGTAGAAGCTCAGCAGGATTAGCCATTATTCCGCTGTGTCTGTAGTTGTGCAAAATAAGAAAAAAGGCGACTTCCCAGAAGAATTTCCCCATCACAGCCTCCATGCCCACAGAAGAGCTTACCTTTTGCCTCAGCGCCTCGGGCTTAGGCTAGTATTTTTGCCAACACCAGTGGCAGTGCAATATTGGGTTTCTGACATGAGCCCAGAGAATTAAAAGACTCCTGAAATCCAGACCAGCTGGATCTCACCTTGCAGGAACAAACGGAGCATCTGTCCTCCCTCAGGGTCCACACCTGCCCATTCCGCTTGAAGCCGCCTTCATGGGGACAGTCTCCAGTGCAAGATGGTCCGGACGGACAAAGGCAATCAAACCCTCCTGCCAGGTTCACACAGGCTGAATCGTTCCAACAGGTGTGGGTCTTTAAGGCACACTCATCGATATCTGCAAAACAGCAGATTTATAATGCTTTGGACATTTTTTTCACAGGACAAATTTTATTTCTGTATTAAGTAATTACTGCTTATCTGCCTTGCTGGTGGAAGAGGGAGCCTTCCTCCTGATATTTTCCATACTGACTTGCTAGACATTAAACACTGATTTTTTCAGGTTATTCTTCAATCTTTGTTTTGATTCCACCAAGAATTCTTAAACTATCTCCAGCAAGCTTAATTCTAAATACTGAGACTGACATACCTAATGGAACTGTATATCAATGATGAACTTGAACCTTCAGACAAGGGTGTATAGTGACTTCCCAGTGACTGGAAACCAGCAAACAATCAGAGTGACTTTCCGTCAATTAGACCACTCTGTTCTAGATTTTACACCAAAATAGAAGTGCGCTATTCTTCATAAGTTCCCATACTAAAAGCAGCCAATTGCATCCTTTTCCCATTGCTGGAAAGTATAAGTGAATTGAAAAAAAAGAAAAAAAAAAGAAAAAAAAAGAAAAGGAAATAAAGAAAGAAATCAGAGGCACCTTATACAGGAAAAAAGTCTTAGAATAAAGCTATGCCGGAAAAGTACGATTTAGCAATGACACAAAAAAATAAGTAACAAAAGAAAATCATTATACACTAGAGAAAAGTGAAGTACAGTATCCCACTAAAATTGCTTTTGGAGGGTAAAATATAATTATGCAATATGAATTTATCTAGGGACTCTCTTTCTTACAGCAAAAGCCATGAGGTTTTTAAGCACATTGTGAAACACAGGTATTTCTTTCAGAAAATAACTTTGGACTGTTCTTAATATATTGACAGATTGTCCAGACAAAATACGAGTAAACTGGTGGGTCCCTCTTGTTCCAACATGAACAATGAAAACTGTAAGCAACAGCGGGAGGAAGGATGGAGAAGAAAATCCTTTAGAAGTATGTGATGGTTTCTATGATGAAAATTCCTGAACACTATTATATTCATTCAGAAATTACAAGGAAGAATCCTCACACTTACCATTGAAAATTATCTAATTGCTAGTGTGAAATTTACACCTGTTCAATATTAATCAAGAGTACTTTTAATTCCTTTCTAAAACAACAAATTTAAAAATTCAATAGAATTTACAAAGAAAATTACCTAAAGTCTAATTTAGGTGGGATGTGGCTAGTTGCCCTACTTCTTGGATGACTGCCATGAGTTCACAAGTCATCTCCTCAGAAAATCAGAACTTTAAAAGATGTTAAAAATTCTCTCAATCTGCTGAAGGAAACTCTCTACAACAATCAAACCACTAAATTCCCTCTGACCTGGTTAGTAAAATTCCTGATTTCCATTCATAAATAGTCCAGGAACAAGTGGAAATGCGGTAGTGCCCTTGGATTTGATCAAATGCAAAATCAGCCTGTGCAACTGAGGCAGGGGCCTGGGCCGCCAGAAAATGGCTGCTCCTCTTTCTGCTCCTAGACCCAAAGGGAAGCTGGAGGCACTCACACTGCAAAAGGGCTTCACTCCCGGGCTAACCTGTGGGCCAGTCCTTTGTCAGAGATGTTCCCAGTGGCCGGATAGCACGATTCAATTGCTCAGATTTCCCTAAAAATGGTGTATTTTGCTGCCCTGACAGTCGTAATTGCCAAAAAATAACATTATTGCTCTAATGCATAGCTTAGCACTACTGAGTACTTGAAAGGTCCACTATCAGTGGTGTAAAAGGCGTTGCACTAAGAGAAATTAAAACTTGTATTTCGTTGTTTAACAAGTGCCAGAGTACCACAGGAGGTAAAAACCATGAAGAGTGACATGAAGAGAGCTACGAATGAACTGGTATGAAATCAATTATACCCAAACAGCTACTGTAAGGCTTAAAATATTCTTAAAAACATGTTATGTTCCTTTCAATAGACTTTGACTTGTATTTTATGTTGAAGACAAAGGTATAAATGAAACTTTCACTTTGTCTTTGGCGATTTCGCCAAGCATGGTCAATATTCTCTTCCCGACCATATTAAGGGCTCCTTGAATAGCATATATATAGGATGTAGCAGGATCACAGTGCAGATTAGAAGGGTAGCTTTCACAGTTCAAAACTAAAAGGATTTCACAGATTAATGTAAAGCCATACTGCCTACAGAGTTCCATGTAATTGCTTTACTTATGACACAGAAATCTAATTCTGTTTCCATGTAATTTAACAGATTTATGGAAAGCCAGATGTTAGCAATTATAGAAACTAACATTATTCATATTCTCAGTAGCACAGACCTGTTCACACTGCACAAAGCCAACTTTAACTGTTATACACATCCAAAAGGAAAGAACATCCTATTTACGGACTGCTACTGCTGTTCTCCGTTTAGCACACATAAAAAGGATGCTCCCATTAAGAGCAGCCCAAACTGGTAAGTGGGACATTCTTGACAAAGAAACCAATCAAGCAAAACTGAGTAACACAGCGTGAACATCAATTCCTAATTGCTTCTCAGTTTGCTCACTTTTTTTTCGTTCTTTATGCAAATGATGGTTTCTTATTATTTTATGGCATTTATTATTTAAAAGTTTTAGTCATTAATCAAATATAAAAGGCTTGGACACTGCACTCATTTCCAGCTGAACTTTTAATAGAGCTAATTTTCTGAGAACATCCTTTTGGCAGTTTTTTCTTGTTGCTGATTGCATTTCTAAAAGTCAGAACAAACAGCCAATGTTCCCAGTAACTTGAGGAAAAGAAGTTATAAGCGTAACGTGTTTTTGTCCCTTTCACTCTTTCAGCCTCAAACCAGATTGGAGGGTAGGAGGTGGGAAAGGAAAAAAATCCCAGACAAATGCTCCCATATTGTTAGCTCAAGAAGATATTTCAGTTTAATGGAGATCAAATGGACTCGCTTATATTGACATGAGATCAGCATGTAGATAGCTATGCAAAACACAGAAGAAAGTACTCATATTCAGTGTGAAATTTCTCTTAACAACAGGAATCAACGTGTCTACTTAGGTGTTGAAAAATTAGCCTAGTTTAAAATTCTGAACATGTCCAAAACAATCTTCTAATGAATATGAAAATTGTGCGATAAGACTCTTGCATATAGATTATTTTTATATTATTCAAACCCTTGCTCAGCAAAAATTCCCCACACTCCCCTCAGGTTTCGTTTGCTTTTCCACAACTGTTCTCAGAAGATGTGGGCCCAAAACTGGAACATTTAACGATGGGGAAGGTTAAAACTGTACACAAATCTTATTTCCCATTATAACACTAGGTAGGAAGAAGATGAAATATTCATTTTATAAATCAAGCAACTTTTAAGAACAATGGACAAGTACATATGTGAAACAGCAAGGTTTTCCCTATATTCAACATAAGAACAAGATGTCTGTCTTGACTTTTGGGAGGATTAGTTCTTTCATGCATCCTGTCAATCTGTAAGAACAATCTCATTTTCACGCCTGAAATAGGACTTTGCAATCTTATTCATTACATTGAAATGATCTCTGGCATAAGTTACTAATTAACCCAAGTAAAAGCGGCAGAGCTTTACTTCCCCACTCCCCGCAGTTCCTTTTCAAGGAAAAGAGAGGATATAGTGGAAATGACCGTAATCAGAAACTTGCTTGTAATGCTAGCCTTATGATATTTTCTATCAACAACATATAGCCAACAGCAAAGTGACTGCTGCCAAGACTTGCCACCTCAAACGTTGCACAGGACTATCATAAAACTGATCAAGATCTTCACTCTTCAAACACTCCCGATTTGTGCTTCTTTAAACAAATGTATGGCAACAAGCACCTGATCATGTGTTTTAGCTCCAATGCAACTAGTCACGTTTTGTGGATGGGAAAAGAAAGAAAACAAACCACCCAAGACATGCTCATTTCCCAATATACTCTCAAAGTACATAAAGATAGCTTGGTAACGCGGGCAGCCAAGAAAGCAGAATCAAAATGGAATATAATAATCCCCTGAGATGCAATTTCCTTTTCCATCCTTTTTGGCTGTAACGAGAAGTAATTTGCCTCAGATATTATGAGAGGTCCCATGGCCACTGTATTTGAATGGGGTAGAAGACAAGCATGACTGTACATATCAACACAAGTTCATTAACTTGGTTTCACTGAAATTTTAAACCAATCCCTAGCTACTTCATTTCTTAGCTTTCCAGGCTATTCAGGTTTCAATAGTATGACTTTTCTATAGCACCTTAATAAATGTGTGCAAGCAAGTCATGCAGCGTGGTGCTCTGTAATATCATGATAAGCTGCTGCAGAAGAAAGAACCCTACTAATGTGCTAATTTTAACTGTTACGGTACATTAAACCATTACAGTATAATGTTAACGTGAAAAATGTATGCTGGGCTCCCAAGCCAATGTATGTACAAGTTAACTAAACACTGTTTTGACATATCGTTTTTCACAGGCCACTTGTCACTTAATGTATCTGCCTTCTTTCCAAATCAAAGTGATTTGGACTCATCCTTGGGAAAAAAAAAAAAAAAACCACTAAACATTCATTTTTAGTTAAAAAATATTTTATGATAGCACTTTTATTCTATAGAGACATAACAGTCTATTAAAGAACACCACATAGTAAATTAGATTCTGAATACAGGACTTACTAATGCTTTCTAGAAATATAGAACTGACTAAACACAATTACCTTGAAGACATGTGACGCAACTTTCTCTCAGAATACAAGAATCAGAATTTACTAAATGGAAAGCAAGATAATTTTTGTTTTGCAGGATAAAATCCACAGACACAGACTCTGATATCATGAGCTTTAAGAAACTGTACGAGCAGAACAGAAGAAAGTCGTAAAACAGGAGGTTCTAGAGTGTAGCACTTCTCTAACGATAGATAGAAAAGCAATTCTCAGGCATATGGGAAGATTTTCAAAGGATGGGTCTAGCTTTTTGTTCGACACAGAAAGGAGGCAAAATAAACAAAGAACAAACCTCCTTTTCTCTTACTTTCTAATCTAGCTAACAGACAACACTGCAGCGTA